CTCCCTCCCCTCCTCCCCGCTCTCCCTCGCGCTCTGGGCTCCGCTCCTCTCTGCCGCTCTCCCTCTCCTCGGGCGGAGTCGCCCACCGCTGCCAGCCCCGTGTAGGGGGAACCGTTCCAGGCTGCAGCCGCAGGTAATAGACCCCCAGTGTGCGGGGGTGGGTGGGCACCGGGTGCGCGATTGAGGTGAGCTGGAGAAGCGGGGCGCTTCCCTGGCTGGCGCTCAGGAATGGGGTCGGACGCGAGGGGGACCTACAGGGAAGGGGTGGTCCCTGGGGCCTCCGGGGCGGGGTGCGGGACAGGGCAACCCCGCAGGGGGACCCGGGTGCCCCGCCGCCCCCCTCTTGCGTCTGGATCTAGTCTCTGCCTCTCTGGGGGTTCGTGCTGGCTGGGTCCGGCGCCTCTCGAGGTCCTGTCCGGGGTCCCCCTCACTGCTCGGGTCGCTCGATGGCCTTCCCGGCTCTGAGTCCAAACCTCCCCACTACCGGCCTGCCCCTTGCGCCATCTGTTATCTGTCCCTCTGCGTCCCTGTCTCAGCCTTCTTGGGGCTCTGTCTGTCCCTCTCCGTCTCCGTCTGTCTGTCCCGTGTCCCCTCCCCGTCCCTCCTGCTCCCTGGGCAGCTCCGACCCTGCTCCCTGGCCTCTCCCTCTCCCAAGCCATTAACTCTCCACCCACACACCTTTGTCTCCGCCCCTGGATCCGGGAGACCCGGCGCCAGAGGGTCCCCCTGCCCCCCAGCCCGCGGCGTCACCCCTCCATCCCCTGGGCAGAGCTGCTCTCCTGTCTCAGTCCTGGCCGTCTAACCTGTAGCCTTTGCCGCACAGCGTGGGCTTGTCCTCTCTCCCCTCTAACCTCTCCATTCCGCCGTGCAGACTGGTCCAGTCCTCCCACAGCCGACTTCCATATCTCACACTGCCTGTTGGGTTCCTGATTCCTGCGGTCTCCCTTCCCTCCCTGGGGACCCCTCTCCTGGGCACAGGTCGAGGAAGCTTCCCATGCCCTCCAAGCCTCGGGTCTGGGGCCAGTGGGTGCCGAGTGGGTGTCAGGGCAGATGTGGGCCTGGGCTGGAGCCGGATGGGGCCATGAGTGTGCGCGTGTGCCCGTGTGTCCACCGCCTGCCAGCCTTCGAGAAGTCCCCGCCCTGTGAGCGAGGTCACACCGCCTGGCGCTCCAGATGGCTGGAGAGGTGACTAGGTTAGGACCCCACTCCTTACCTGCCCCTGACTCAAAGGGGTGTGGCTTGGCCGAGCACCTCCCGCTCCTGGCCTCAGTTTACCCGTGGGTGCACGGCAGCCCTGAACACAGACTCTCTGTCTGGCTGACTCCGGGGCTGGCACAGTGCAGGGTGGTGTGAGAGCCCCAGACCAGCCCTATCCCGGGCCTCCAGCTCCTGAGGCCCCGGAAGAACTGGGGCACCCAGACCCTGGGCAGGGCTGTCTCTGCCGTGATCCCGCGCCCACTCCCCACCCCGCCCCATCCTTTCGCCCTGCTCGCTAAACCCAGATTAGGTTCCAGGGCGCTGGGAGGCAGAGGCAGGAGCCAGAACACAGCGAGCTGGCTGTCGCTGGCCTGGCGGCGGGACAGGACTTACAAATATTTATCCTATGCCTTCCCTCCCTGACCCCTCCTCCTCAGGGCGCCAGGGAGAGGAAACCCGGTTTTGCAGGAAAGGCTTCGAGCTGGGCTGCTTTCCTCAGCCGCTGGAGAAGGCAGCTGGGTGGGCAGGGACATCGGAGCTGCTGTGGATGGATGGATGGTTAGACTCTGGGGGGAACTTCCCAGAATGAATCCATGCCCCTGCTTCTAAGAGCCAAAGAGGGGGCGAGAGAAGGGAGCACATGAGGCTTTGCTTTGGTTCCTGGTGGGTTTGTAATTACGCCTAAGTGGTTGCTAATTAGGGGGCTGCTAATTAGATGTATCATTAGAGGCCTTGGAGGGGGCTAATTGTGCTGTGGCCCTTTAAGAATCACCCCCTCCCCACGCGTGTGTGAACACACACACACACACACACTCCCTCCTTTGGAGAAGTTCTGCCAACATTCTGCCTCCCTCCCCCAGAGGCGCTGGCTCCCAGCCCGCGGGTGAAGTTGGGGGCCAGCTGCGGGTTAGACTCCCAGAGCAAATCTGCAGACAGAAGGAAGTTACCGGGAGGCCCGGGGCATGCGCCCCGGAGAGGGAGGAGGTGCGGACAACACCCGCCTCCCAATCCCCAGCCCCGATAGATAGGTGGCTGGGTTACCATGGCAACATGAGGGCGGGGCAGAGGAGCTCCAACCTGGGGTGGGCCCTGGAGAGAACCGGGGAGCCATAGAGTTGGTGCTGGGTGACTTTGGGACAGTTATTTACCCTCTCTGAGCCTCGGTCCTCTCCCCAAAGGGAGACACTGGATCAGGTGGTTGGGGAAGGAAGGAGGGTCAGCCTGGAAGGCCCTGAGCGCGAAGCAGCAGCGAGGAGGGCAGAGTGGACGCGGTGGGCAGTGAGGGGACAGAGCATGAGGCCTTGAGGACGAGGGAGGTGACTTGAGCTCGGACAGGCAGGGAGGGCTCTGGGCAGAGGGTGTCTGTAGGGAGACCTGGTCGATGCAGAAATGGCCTGTGTCCCCGTGTAAAGGGGCTGTCGCCTTGCAGCGGCCAGGGAAAGCCCAGATCCAACAGCCAGGGACACTGGAGAGACCAGCAGCTGTGAACACCACAGGGAGGGGTGCAGACAAGACTCCTGGGGCCCCTCCTGAGCCCCACCCCAGACAGACAGACAAGATTGTGCCTACTGCCAATCAAATCCTAAGCAGGAACCTGCTGAGGGCCAAGCTAAAACCATCAGGGTCACCTAGACATTCAGGGCCTCTGCTGTCCACACTAGGTTACATGGTGATGTTTCATGCCTGGCTGTGTTCTGCCCCCCTGCTCTTGTGTCTGTGGGCTCCCCTATGTGTCACACCTCCCAAACTCCCTCACTCTTCGGTGCTGTGTAATATTCCACTGCAAGCTGGCCTATTTCTCCTAGGTCCATTCCTAGGTACAGAATTGCTGAATGACTGGATGTGTAATCCTGCCAGGGTTTCCCAAATCACTTTGGCCAATTTATGATCCCACCAGCATCACACAAGGGGCCCTCTGTCCCTTGCTGTCCTGTGTCTTTCTCTGTGTCTCCTTCCTCCTCCAGTGTGGGTCCTCAGCTCAGCCCCTTGCTCCCTGTGGCCCAGTTGGCTTTGACTTCTGTGTGACAGGGCAGGGCTGGCTCTCTCTCACTTCCTCCTCCTCCTCCCTAGGACCCCGGCAGCCCTCATGGCAGCCTTGGCCTTGGTGGGGGCCGCGCTCCTCCTGGGGGCTCCCCCATGCTCAGGGGCAGCCACCCCAACCCCCTCCCTGCCGCCTCCGCCGGCCAATGACAGCGACACCAGCACAGGGGGCTGCCAGGGCTCCTACCGCTGCCAGCCGGGGGTGCTGCTGCCCGTGTGGGAGCCGGACGACCCATCGCTGGGGGACAAGGCAGCACGCGCTGTGGTGTACTTCGTGGCCATGGTCTACATGTTCCTGGGCGTGTCCATCATCGCTGACCGCTTCATGGCGTCCATCGAGGTCATCACGTCCAAGGAGAAGGAGATCACCATCACCAAGGCCAACGGCGAGACCAGTGTGGGCACCGTTCGCATCTGGAACGAGACTGTGTCCAACCTCACACTCATGGCCCTGGGCTCCTCGGCGCCCGAGATCCTGCTGTCCGTGATCGAGGTCTGCGGCCACAACTTCCAGGCAGGCGAGCTGGGCCCAGGCACCATCGTGGGCAGCGCCGCCTTCAACATGTTCGTGGTCATTGCCGTCTGTGTCTACGTCATCCCTGCAGGCGAGAGCCGTAAGATCAAGCACCTGAGGGTCTTCTTCGTCACCGCCTCTTGGAGTATCTTCGCCTATGTCTGGCTTTATCTCATCCTTGCTGTGTTCTCCCCAGGTGTGGTCCAGGTAAGCCAGCGGACACCCTTTTGGTCCTTGTGCAAAATCCAGAGGGCTGTTGACCTGTGCGTAGGAGAAGCACATGCTCACATCCCAGAGGGCCGCCAGGCGCGGTTGTGCAGGTTGCACACTCTGCAAGGGGTTTGGACCACAGAGGGCAAAGTGGGGCTGGAGACCCATCGGTCTTTACAAGCCCCGCCTGTGTGGGAGATGTGTGAAGCACTCTGGGGCAGGGGAGAGGGTGGTGCACTGTACCCACGCAGAAGGGTGCTTTTTAATTCTCGCAAGGGCCTCGTGTGTGACCTGTGGAGTACACGCCAGGTATGATCACGTTTTTACCTGGATTCCATGTCTTTTGCATAATTTATTTCTGCCCGTGGAATAAGACATCTCCATTTGCATAATTCATGCGGCGTTAGCATGAACCAGCCCTGTGTTTTCTGACAGCGCTAATCGGTTGGTTAACTTGGTAGGATTTACGTAATGCGTCCTCGGCCGCAGACGGACGCAGCCACATCTGCACCTTGCTGCTCCCTCCAGCTCCGGGTCCCAGATACAGTGTGGTTTGCATAATCCATTCATTATTCATCATGGGTGTCTGATGTCGAGATAATTTATGCCTCTGCGGTGTCATTTATGCTCCCACCCAATCCAGCGTGGATGTGGGTTCGTGTCCACTTTGCATAATTCATCCCAACAGCGTTCTGGCCACACTGGCCTACCCCTTGCCTCCCCTGGGTAGCGCCCGGTCTTCCTGCCTTCCAGACAATTGCTTCATTTATTCCCTGGGACTCCCGGGCTGCCACTCACTTTGCATAATTCATTGATGGGCCTGGCCTCTCTCATTCCTGCAGCTACTCATCTGCAGCACCGGCTCCATTCACACCTGTGTGTAATCTGTTCAGCCCAAGGGCTTCCAGCTCCTGTGCCTGCCCAGAAATGCTGAGGGCGACGTGTAAGGCTGCACCGTGGCAGGAAAGGGGCCGCCGGCAGGGAGAAAGTCACACAACTGACTGGCCCTTGTGAGGCTGAGTTTCCTGGCCACTGTGGTGAAAAGTACAGGAGTGGATGGCAGTTTTGGGTGTCCTGACGTAGGTCTCTGAAGCAACTTCATGCAGGAGGCGGGTGGGGTGGGCACAGATGGTCCCCTCTGAGGAGGAGCCCAGGGGACCCGGGGCGAGTGAGGGTGCAGCATGCAGGTGGCAAAGCCACCGACCATGCAGGGCCCCTCCAGCAACACCACAGGGCCCAGTATTCCAGGGTTTTCTTAGAGCCCTGGGGAGTGGGAAGCTCCAGCGGCCTCCACCTCCACAAAGGCTGTGTGACCCCAGGAGAAGCCCACCTCTCTGGGCCTCAGTTTCCACGTCTGAAACAGGGAAAAGGTCACACCAAATCCCAGCGTCCCCTTCTGACAAAGGTTTCGTGACATCCTCTTCACCCTGTGATGGGACTGGAAGGGAATAGGAGCCCGAGGCCAGGGCTGGTCCCAATCCTATCTCTGCTGCTCCCTAGCCGTGTAACCCTGGGCAAATTTCTCAACTGCCCGATGCCTCAGTTTCACCACCTATAAAGTGGGGGCTCAGCAGGTGCTGACTTCCTAGGGCAGCCGTGAGGGTCAGTGGAATGGCTTTGTGCAGGGCACAGAACCAAGGGCCTAGGATGGAGTACTCCAGGCTCGCACTTGTGTTGAAGGAAAAAGCTCAGAACGAGGGTACAGGAAGTCAGGGTGGAGCAGGTGACACAGGGTTAGAAATGTGGGCATCTGGCCTGTGAGGCCAGGCAGAGAAACTGCATCAGCAGACACATCCGGGGCTCTGGACCCTGTCATGATGAACAGGGTTTTGCAGACACAGTTGTCCAATGGGAAGAGCCTTTCTTTTTGTGTGTTTTTTGAGACAGGGTCTCACTATGTAGGCCTCAAACTCGTGGCATCCTCCTGCCTCAGCCTCTTGATTACTGCGATCACAGGTGTGTGCCACCACACCTGGCACAAGAAGCCCTTCTCTTTTTCTTGTCTGTTTTCCTGCAGTACTGGAGATTGAACCCAGGGCCTTTGCCCGGAGCTACCTCACCCACCCCTCCCCACTCTAATTCTGAGACACGGTCTTGCTAAATTGCTGAGTTGCCCAGGCAGGGCTGGAACTGGTCATCCTCCTGCCTCAGCCTCCCAGAGTGCTGGGATCACAGGCATGCACCACCATGCCCGGCTCGTGCAGGGGAAGTTCTGAAGGGGGGCAGGATGTGGGACGTTCTGTTTTGTGTGGGGGCATCCTAAGAGGTGCTGGGTGTCACGGACCATGCCTGGCCAGGACCGTGACCCCTCCTCTCTCTGATGCCAAACCTGCATCCTTTCCAATGCCCCCCGCCCAGGGCCTCAGGGACCCACAGTGCCCTGGGGTGGGCGGAAGAATGGCATGAGCCTGCTGGGACCAGCTTTTCTTTACCTGCAGGGAGGAAATCCAGGCAGGAGGCGGAGGGTTTGATCCAGTAACAGCTGGGAGCAGTTGCTCCTGGGGGAGGGCTCTCTCTGGGCTGTGCTGGAAATCCTGCTTTCCTTCACAAACCTGCCCGGAGCTCTGCCCAGCTTTGTGATTTCCAAGTCTTGACTTTACTCTGAGCCGTCAGTAAACACAGTGACTATGGATGTGGAGACTGGATCTTAAAAGATACTTCCCTAGCAGGCTCATGTACAAGGAACTTGCAGGGCCGTGTGGAGGTAACTGCCCTTCAGTCACCTCTTTATCTTTAACCATAGAGGCAACACAAGGCAAGCAGGTGAGTCTTGGTGGCTCCTGGCCACAGGCAGCCGGTGTCTCTGACCCCCAGGCTGTCCTCAAACTCAAAGAGACCCTCCTGCTTCAGCCTCCAGAGTGCTGGGATTACAGGCATGCACCACCACACCTGGCAGAGTTAGTCACTGACTTGTCCCCTAGGGGCCTCATAAATCAAAGGAAGGAGAGTCTGGCAAGGTGAAATGGGTTCAAGAGAATGTTGGTGAGCAGAGAACAGCCCTGAGGACAGCTGGGGTGAGGGGAAAGGCGGTGGGAGGCGAGCAGGAAGAGACACAGGTTCCGCCCCCTGACACAGGCTGGGCCACAAGGTGGGGACATCTGTCAGTTGCTGGGGATGTTCTTGGTCCCTGGGAGTGTGGTTCTCAGCCTTGAAAAGGTGGATGGAGGACTGGGGCATGGTGCCACATGGCTGCAATCTCCGTACTCTGGGAGGTTGAGGCAGAAGGATTGTAAGTTCCAGCTGAGCCTGGGGAATTCAGTGACACACCAGTCTCAAAAGGCTGGAAATGTACCTTGCTTCAGAGTAACCAGTAGAGATGAAGCACGTGGTAGAGCGCTGTTGGACACCATGTTGAAAATCCCCCTCGGTCGTGCAGAACTGTGCTACAGTCAGGCTTTCCCACTGAGCTCAGTATATATGGTTCCCCCTCCTTTTTGTCTGGCAGGTAACAACCGTCCTTGCTGCACTTCTGTGTGATGAAGTTTAAATGCTTGTTTGGGAAACTTTAACGGTTTAGAAGGCTTGTTAGAAAGAGTGCATTAGTCTGAAGAGTATACATTGGCTAGGAAAGAATTTCCTCCTTTTGTTTCTCCAAATCTTTCCGCCTTACATAGCTTGAGATCGCTGCAGCTCAATTCGTGTATTCTAGCCTTGCGCAGTATACACTGATCGATGACAAACCAGTGAGCTATGCCAAAAGCACTCTCAATATTACAGTCGACAAAAGGTTTGTACTTTTCACATAGCTTGTCGCCCCGTAAAAGGGTTAACAGCACAGTTTTCAAAAACTAAAGACGTATTTATAGGAGAAAAAAAAAGGATGGAAATGTAGCTTAGTGCAAAGGCCCTGGGCTCAATTCCTACCGACCCAACACACGGACGCACTCACACTCACACACGGCCTTCTCTAGAGATATTCATTGATTAAGAAAGCGAACAACTTTGAAGACTCACAGGGGAGAAAGATGGGTGACTTCAAAGAGATAGAAAAGAACACGGAGATGAGGAGGAGAGAAAGGCAGAAAGAAGTGATGATCAAAGGCACCGACCGAGACAGCCTCAGACACACAGTGACGGAGATGGACAGAGAGGAAAACGGAGGGAGAAGACGGGTGGGGTGGCGGATGGAGGGGGCAGAGGGAGGCCACCGGCACAGCGGAGGCCGCAGGCCCCGGGGAGGGGACGAGAGCGCCCCCTGGCGGCGGGGCAGCCCGCACTGACTGGCGCCCTCTGCCCGCAGGTGTGGGAAGCGCTGCTGACCCTCATCTTCTTCCCGGTGTGCGTGGTGTTTGCCTGGATGGCGGACAAGCGGCTGCTCTTCTACAAGTACGTATACAAGCGCTACCGCACCGACCCGCGCAGCGGCATCATCATCGGCGCTGAGGGCGACCCACCCAAGAGCATTGAGCTGGACGGCACGTTCGTGGGCGCCGAGGTGCCGGGGGAGCTGG